TTCTGCACACACAGCCTGCCTGTGCCACTTATGGCTCTCAAATGATAGATTGGTCATCCCTGACTTAAATAATGTGTTTGTATCTTATAGCTAATGCAGGGTGTTAAGAGTCTTTTTAATTGTCTCATGTGTAACTTCTCCAAAACCACACTAAAAAGTAACCCTTCCAGTCAGATAACCTCAGAATTTGTGTAAATTGCAATTTTTATAAAGTTTCTTAATGATGGAGTGGTAATGATGCAGTCAGAGTGTTCTGAAAGCCTATTTATGAAGTTTTTATGTTTTTTGTCAATTAAGGATAACACAGATTAACAAATAACAAAAAGGTGCATGTTTTATGGTGTAATGGTAGAGATAGGGTGGTTATTTTAAGCAGCTTCATTAGAGAGCTGTGACTCTTTTCCTCAGGTATATCAAACCTGGTCTGTTTAAACACAGGGAAGAGAAGGTAAGTGTAAAGGTATAATCTAATAGCTGGGTGAGATTTTCTTCTCTTTCCGGGGACAATAGATCCACTTTCAGGACAAATAGGCATAACTCAAGGCCAGGTACAGACTTTCATTTTCTATCAGAATTGCTGTTCTCCAGGTAGAAACTGAAGGTGTACAGATGGTCAAGTTCGTTTTTGTGTTTTTTCTTTTCCCAAAGCAAAAATGTCTGCTTCAGGAGAAAAATAACTTGGAAATAGCCAGGGTTAAGTTAACTTGTTCCTGAGAGAGTATTCCCTAGGAGACTGAACATCTATACGCTTTCCCTCAGTTTATCCCATTCTGGGGTCTGGGAGGAAGGCCCCTAGTCTTCTGGAGACCAGGGTGATCCCTCTCTTGAGAAGGCAAGGCAAAAGCTACCCCCCACTCCCATAGACTGGAAGGTGAGGGGAGCAGCAGCTATCACTCCCTGCCTTTTCCCCAGGCTGGGTAATCCTTGCTTTCAAGAAGAGATGGTGGGAGGAGAGAAGGGTTGCCAGCTCTTGTCAGCTTCCTGTCTCCCAGCTGAGCAGCAGGACAGCTATTTTAAAGGCCAGTGGCTCATAGCAGGGCTCAAGAACCGCATTTCCAGGTGCTGGTTTTTAAATTGCTGCCTCACCATTCAGCTGGGTGGCAAAGAGGAAAAGGGAGCCAGGCTAGGGAAAGCCTCCTCCTCATGTTCAGCTCCTGCCCCTCTGGATTTTAAACTGGCATTCAATTGAGTGGCAGGGTGGAAGGGGAGCTGGGTGTGCAGACGCCCAGCTCCTGGTTCCTCTGGCTTCCCTTTGCTGCCTGCTGTGCTCAGTATCCTTGCCAGCCACCACAGGGGAGAAGGCAGTCTGTCAATTACTGGGATTTCCCTCAGGGCAGGGGTGGCCCAGGGATCAACCCTCCAGTGCTCCCTAGTTGGAGAGCTTCCCTGTGGAGTTTTTCAGTTATGGGGCTGAAGGAATATCTATACAGTCCAGCTCCCAGGCTGTTTTTCTACCAGAGAAACTTATTTTGGTAGAAATTAACTTCTGCATGCAGGCCAAGTCTGCAGTCTAGATTCAGATGGTAAAATCCAAGAAATGCAACGAGAGTTTTTACTTCTGTTGTTCAGAACTAGGATTATAAAATAAAGCAAAGAAAAGGATAAATGGAAAACAAAAGCAAGCAGAAAAAGAGAGAGACTAGCAAAAGCCCTTTTTTGTTGCTTCCGCTGATGGAAAAATACTAGGTTGTTCAGAAGCATCTTTCAAGACTTTTCAATTAGCTTTTCTGATGCCAACAAAAAAACACAGGATGCTTGAGCAAATTAAAAACAAATTAAGAAGAGTCCACTTAGATTAGGGGTGAGCAATGATTTGGGCCCGAGGGCTACATGGGGAGTTTTGATGAGTTGTCATGGGCGGCACCCCCTCTGCTGAAACAGCTCACCAAAACTCCCTTTGGAGCTGTGGGCAGGTGGGGATCAGTGTTCAGGAATGGGAGGGGTGAGCGAAGTTGGGATCACATGCCTCTGCCCTCTGGGGGCTGTGTGTGTGTGTGCAGTTGGGGGTTGCCTGGGACCTAGATCCCAGGAGCCTGCTGTGGGTGAGGTGGGGCAGGGGTCACACGCAGCAGAGCTCACCTGGGCAGTAGGGTGTGCGCTGCCCCTGCAGCGGTCCACGCTGGGGCGAGCCCCACCCACTTGTGCGATTAATTGTGACTAATTTTTTTTAATCACGCATCTAATTGTGATAAAAAATTTTAATCTCTTGACAGCCCTTAAATAAAATTAAGATATAATAGATGTTTGACTTTTAGTATATGATTTGGG